TATATACAAAAACATATACATATATATATGTGCATGTGTATACATATGTGTGTGTGTGGGTGTATATTTGGGGGGGGTTGGTACCAGGGATTGAACTCAGGACCTTGCCCTTGTGAGGCAGTTGGCGGATCCCTTCTGGATCCATCATGTTCCTCAGCTCCTCTATTTTTTTTTAAATCTGTGTCTGTGCTAGATTTATTAATCATGTCTTGCACTATGGACACAATCTCTACTGTTATCTGAGAAGTTACTTCTGATTTCATTTTTTCCAGGTCCTCTATCGTTGCCAGTTCAGGGAGGCCAGGTGGTGGAATATCAGACTGTTCCATCTCGTTGCCCTTTGGGGTTGACCTAGGTGATCTGAAGTCTGGTTTTGACACTCATTTCTGTGTCTTCTCACTTCAACAGATGCAGCCTGCTGTGCCTTTATTGAGGGAACTTTAAGCTCATGCAGTGGTCAATTCTCAGCCAGCCACTGAGCGGACTTTTCTCTGCTGCTCATCAGTACACCAATTCCTGGGTTCAGAATAGTGGCCTTCTGGATCCCTAAGCAGGCTCTGGCTGGGACCTGTGCACACTTGGGATGGTATCTAGGTGTGCCTCTTGCTGAGGCTCTATGTACCTGTTGTCTGGTGGGGCCTTTAGTTGGGGTCTGTGCACCTCAATGCCTGTTGTCTGAGCAGACTTCTGGCTAGGGTCTCTGCTCCTTTATTAGTGGTATTGGAGTGGGCCTCTGGCTGAAGCTTGTGTGTCTGTGCAGCTCTTTCCTGGGTGAACCTTTGGCTTAGGCGGCTGTGCCTGAGCCGCTGGGGTCAGGGCGGAGCCCTGGCTGGGCTCTGCCTGCAGCTGGCCACTCTGGACCACACTGCTGCTCCCCAGGATCTGTGTGCACTCACTGATGCTATGGGGCAGGCCTATACTGTTTAATTAATGAATATATGCACAGATAACATTAAAAATTTTTAAATTGGACCTGTGGGGGAAAAGTATGATTTGTTTCATTATTTTATTTTTTAACTTTGCCCTTCCTATTTCTGGTCTCTGTGAACTCAGGGTAGGAATGGACTTGCTTATGAAAGGGAATAGGAGACTTGTACCTTATGGGTGCTATTATAGTGGGGGCCTCAATGCTCTCTGTCACCGCACATGTCCAGGTGGGTATTCTTTGTTGTGGTTTGAGTCCTAAATGTCCCCAGAGGCCCATGTCACTGTTTGGAGGGGGTAGACCATTTAGGAGGTGGGGCCTAATGAAGGGAAGTTAAGTCATTGGGGGCATGCCTTGAGGGAGATACTGGGACCCCAGCCCCTTCTTTGCTCTTCTCCTGCTTCCTGACTGCTGTGAAGTAAGTAGCTTTGCTCCACCACACACTCCACCATAGTGTTCTCCCTCACCACAAGCAATGGCAACAGTAGACTTAAACCTCGGAAACTGTGAGCCACAACAACTATTTTCTTTTCTGGTATTTTGTCATAGTGATGGAAATATGACTAGCATGCTGTTTTTGCTGGGCTGGTTAGGGAGAGGGTTCATTATAGGGTATACTGCCAGGCCCTGCTCCTAGTCAAATCCCATTAGCTTCTTATTTCTGGAGTCCTCCTCTTCATTGTGGTCTCTCAAAAACATATTAAGTGCTAATGCAGTCCATTGAGCCATCTTATTGGTTCATATAGAATTGGTAGAACCTTGCCCTATCCAAATCTTACCCTTTCTCTTTGCCCTACCTTTGTGGTCTGTTCAAAACAGCCTCCCATCTTTGCTATTTTTGGTCAGCACATATCTATCTTTTATTTACAGTTCTTATACACCCTTGCTATCCCTGCCACCCAATTCTAAGGAAGGCTTATAGCATGTACCTCTACTCCTTTGGCAGCCCAGCATGGAATTTGTTCCTTCAGTAAATCAGCAGCATGGGACAGTAATATGGTCTTGCTTCTTTCAAATTTCTCCTACCATCTTTGCAAAGATGAGCCTGTGTGTGAAGGGTTCTCTGGCCCAGTTTTGTCATCTTTTTATAAGTACTGAGGTATGTGCCTTCTGTCTTACTTTTGGCAACACATTCTTAGAAATGCAGAGATAACCATAGATATCCAATTTTAAGAATTTGATAAACATTTCTGTGTAAACATTGCTTGTGGTTTAACTGCAAAATGGGTTCTTCAACAGCAAAAGCCAAAAATTAGTAAATTAACTTGCAATAAACCATTCATACTCAGTGTAAATTATGGATTTTTTAAAAGAGGGGCATTGGGTTAGCATTAAGAAAATTTTTATATATAATAATTTTGTATGACTTGATAGAACCAAGCAGTTTTCTTATACATATTTTAAATATACTTTTAAAAGGGATAAGCATACCTTTGTTCCTATGGAGTACAGAACATGGTTAGGGGACAGCATTTACAGGAAGGCATGGATGCTAGGCTTATATTAAGGTAGAATTTCATAATGTTCAATAACTTTCAGCAATGGAAGTGATTACTTTTTTGAGTTAGAAAACTCTCCATTCTCATTGTTTTCAGTTTTTAAAAAATTACCATTTTATTTTAAACAATTACAAGTAGGTTATGAAGAAACTAATTTACTATTGAACTTGCTCAATTTTCCCACGTAATTTAATAAAGACATATTATACAATATATAAGGAAGCATTAGTAAAGTATCTTTTATTGGGTAAAACTGGGTTGATACTGAGAGTAATATACAAAAATGTGCAATATAATGGAAGAAAACTACCCTAATATGAAAATTTTAAGTTAGTATTGACCTAATTATCAAATATAGTAAATCTAATACACACACTTTGTAGATGAGATTCACGAGTTAATGACATTGTTGTGAAGGACATTCACTTAGTACAAGCAATATTTGTGCATTCCTTCATTCACTCATCCATACATTGCTTCAGTAACATTTATAGAGAGTGTACTATGAGCCAGGTGCTGTTATAGGTAACTACGCACAACCTTGAACAAATTAAAAAATATTTCTATTGTAGTACAGCATTCTAGTACAACCTCCCAAGCCTGGGATTACAGGCATGTACCACCATGCCCTGAAAAACTTGACCCTGTTCACTTAAAATAGCTTGCCTTGCTGTGATTCATATCAGTGTATGCAGATTATCTTCTTCTCATGGTTGTAGAGAATATCTTTGATATTCGAGATTTTGCTTAACTCAATTGCTGTATCGTAGTGCTAAGTCCCAAACATTGTGTTGAACATATTTATCTAACTATATCTTAATAGGACATTTTGACGTTTTTTAAGAAGCAAGGCAGGATTTTGTGAAAGAGGTTATTAGATTGGCTGGGAGACTGAAGTGTAGACTTCCTGTCATTGTTGAGGTACTAAGTGTACCATCCAGTGTCCCGTGCCTGCCAATCCTTAGATTCTACCAAACCTGTAATAGATTAGTAGAGGCAGACTTTGGACCCTTCCAGCAATCCTGCTGCTTTCAGTAACTCTGTTGAAAAACGTCTCTGCTCAGGATAAACTGTATTACTTTGCTTCCTTGGAAGACTTTTCACTGAAGTGAGGTAGGGAGGTCATTTCCATAGTGTGGCAATTGCCATGGAAGAGACAAGCACTGGATGATCTAGCAACAGATATAGGAGCATTTAGTCTACTGTGCGTGTGTGTGTGTGTGTGTGTGCACGCGTGTGCATATATGCTAAAGTGTGAGGCCAGGGAAGTGATTGTCCTTGGGAGGACAATGCCCTTGCTGAGTTGCTAAGATAAGTGAGAACTATTCAGGTAGAGGAGGAGAAAGGGCATTTCAGGCCAGAAAGCAGAGGTTAAAAAATGGTGTAACGAACATGGGGGAATAGTAAGTAATTTAGGGTTGTCAGAATGTAAAATATGAGGCAGGAAGTGTGGGAAACTTGTTGGTGGAGGGACTTATACATCATGTTAAGTCAAAGACATGCAAGTATTTTATTTAACAATAAAATGCTCTATTTGCCACTGCCCTTTGCAACTCCTCTTACATGGTACAATTTTTGAGAGAATTAACCCAACTTTTCAGCCAACTATTAGCTTATCTATCTGCTGTCATTGAGCCCAAAATCCTTGATTCATTGACTGAATTAGAGTACTCAGAACCATAACCAACCATTTCACAAAAAATTGCCAGAGTTTATCATGTGGGGAAATGGTGTAACCGAGGAAGTTCAAATCCATTAGTGCTATCAGAAAACAACTAAAAAGCTGTGCATGGTAGCATGTGCCTGTAATCCCGGAACCCTGAGAAGCTGAGGCAGGAGAATCACAAGCTCAAGCCCATCCTGAGTCATTTAGTGACATAGGAAGTCCTACCTTAAAAAAATGGAAAAGGTCTGGGGATGTAGACAGTGTGAAGGTTATGGTTCTCTCCCCAGTATGGAGAGGAGAGGAGAGGGGAAGGGACAGGAGGGGAGTGAAGAGGAATTGGTCTAGCATCATTGGATACCTAAGATTTACCATCATTGGTTTCACCATCATATCCAACTTCTATGAAAGGTACTACTTGTGTTTGAGTTATGAAAAAGAACAGAGTGGGGATATAGTGATTCAACCTTATGAGTAGTACTTAGTACTTGCTTTTTTCTGAGTCCACATTTCTTTTATTTCTTTTTCTTTCTTTTTTTTTCTTTTTTTTTTTTTTTTTTTTTTTTTTTT